AAAGAGTCTTTCTTTGGATGAATATGTCGGATCTGCTTTTAAACCTAAACCATTCATTTTAAATTGTCTTTTTTTTTTACACTGATTAACACATGGCTGCTTATGCTATATATTTTCTTTGGAAAACATGTATCAATCTAAATCTCGGATTTTTTTTCAATAACTATAATTTTAGGATTTTCATTTTTCCCTTGCATGATGTAAAATCACAATATATATACATATATATATATATATATATATATATATATATATATATAGATATAGTTTTTTTTTTTTTTTAAATGGGATTATAATATGCGATAAATCTGCATATAAAGTAAGGCTAATGATAATAAATACGTCTTAAATTATACGTAAATAAATTAATGTCAATAAGGTCAGGTAAACAACTATAATGCTGAGTGTGTTATGACAAACCACTTTCCGGTATTTGCATAGTAAAGTTAGATAACAAATATCTGTGTATTGCACATAACATGACAAGTTTCAATATATATAAAAATGCACAAAACATCTGTGTTTCAACTACAGACTATATATAGATCAATGCATAAATATCTGTAGTCCACTGTATTCAATTCTACATTTTAAAATGATTTAATAAATCTGGATACATTTTTAAAATTATTAAAATGATTTCAAGATATAAAATGATATTAACTTCTAAAAAAAAAATTAAAAAATATGTAATATAAAAAAATCAATACATCAGAAATATCAAAATATTAAGATAGTTTTAAAAATCTGAAATCATTTTAAAAGTTTATGCACAAAATATAACAACATTTGAAAAGCTAATCCAAATATATTCAATTGAGGCGGCTTTTGACACTGTTGATCAACAGCTTCTTTTCATCCTCCGCAATATCGGTCTACAAGATATTGCTCTCTCCTGGTGCTCCTACTACCTCTCCCAGCGCTCTTTCAGTGTTTCTTTCTCTGGCTCTGCTTCTTCTCCCCAACTCCTCTCTGTTGGTGTCCCCCAAGGTTCAGTCCTTGGTCCCCTACTGTTCTCCATCTATATTGCCTCCCTTGGTAAACTCATTAGCTCCTTTGGCTTCCAGTATAATTTCTATGCAGATGACACGCAAATCTACCTGTCCTCTCCTGATCTCTCCCTGTCCCTCTTGACTAGTGTCTCTGACTGCCTATTTGCTGTTTCTAACTGGATAGCTATCCACTTCCTTAAACTAAACTTGACCAAAACTGAAATTCTGGTCTTTCCTCCCTCAAGTGTTGTTACTCCTGTGTCTGTCTCCCTCCAAGTCAACGATGCTACCATCTGCTCCACCATGCAGGCTCGCTGCCTAGGTGTTCTCTTTGACTCCGACCTCTCCTTCAAGCCTCATGTTCAATCTATCGCCAAATCCTGTCATTTCCATCTCAAAAACATTGCACGCATCCGCCCCTACTTAACACCAGATGCGACTAAGGTGTTGGTCCATTCCACTGTCCTTTCTCGCCTTGACTACTGTAATCCGCTTCTCAGTGGTCTTACGTGCTCCCAACTTGCGCCGTTACAGTCCATAATGAATGCGGCGGCGAGGCTTATCTTCCTGTCCGCCCGCACCTCCCATGCCACACCCTTCTGTCAGTCCCTACATTGGCTTCCTATAAAATATAGTGATCAATTTAAAATTCTGGTTCTTGCTTTCAAACCTCTACATAATGCTGCTCCCACCTATCTATCCTTCCTTATACACAAGTATGTCCCGTCTAGGCCCTTACGATCTGCTGAAGACTTACGTCTATCTTCTGTCCGTACTCCCACCTCTGATGCTCGCCTTCAAGATTTCTCGAGGGCTGTACCGTTCCTGTCGAACTCGCTTCCCTCCTCCGTTAGATGCTCACCCAGTCTCCACTCCTTCAAAAAATTGTTAAAAATCCACTTCTTCATAAAAGCGTATCAATTAAACTGTTAATAGCTCCTGACTGATTCCTCTTCTGCAACTGTCACTAGTCTAATGCTATCCTTACCTTTTTGTGTCATTTTATCCCACTCCCTCTAGCATGTAAGCTCATTGAGCAGGGCCCTCAACCCCTCTGTTCCTGTGTGTCCAACTTGTCTGGTTACAACTACATGTCTGTTCGTCCACCCATTGTAAAGCGCTGCGGAATTTGATGGCGCTCTATAAATATCATAATAATAATAATAATTAATGCAAGACCTTTTGGGGTAAATGTTTTTGCTTAGGTTTTTATTTTTTTACATTATTATTACAATAATCTTCTACAATAACTCTTTGAGACCCAAAGTGAAAGTCAATCCAGTTTCTGTGATAAAAACTGTGCTAAAATCGGAGATGTTTCAAGAAACAAACCAATGGTATCTTCAGTAAAACTTTTTAATACTTCCTTCTTTACTTTTTCTGGTTTGTGACTGGTTCTCTTAATCGTGGTTCTCTTAATAATGTTGACTGCCATGCTTTTAAGCCTTGATTATTTAAAAAAAAAAATAGAAATCTTTTAAATATCTTACACGCTATTTTATCTATTGACAAAAGCAGTTTTGCTCTATATCAAATGGCTATAACAGTGGTTCCCAAACTTTTTATGTTCAAGGTGCCCTTAATATTTCAATATTTTTTCAAGGCATCCCAAGTCAAAATTTCTAGGTTCTATATCTGTACAGCGCTGTGGCATTTATTGGTGCTATAGTGTAATGTACAGTGTTGGCGTTTGAAGGGGTGCTTGTATACAGTTTGTCTTTTAATACAGGGGAGTGTTTGTATGTAATGTTCACTTTTTAATGCGAATGTACATCTGTGTGAAGTATTTGTGTTTGAGTGAAGGAGTGTGTTTGTATATTTATTTGGGAGTGTAGATGCAGGGATGTGTTTGTATGTAGTATTTGTGTTGGACTGCAGGAATGTGTTTGTATGTTGTGCTGGTGTTTTACTGCTTGGATGTGTGCACACACACTACCACATACATACTTACACAGATATACATGCACATTAACACAGAGATACATAGATACACACCGACCCATACACACACCTTTACACACTTATACACCGACATATACACATACACACCCTGACACACAGATGCACATACACAGATGTTTGCCCACACAAGTGATATTTGTTTATATCTCCAGCCACCCTCCTGTTAGCTTACCTTGTATGTCCAGGAGGGTGGCTTGGAGTCCTGCTGCTGGTGGGAGTGCGAGGCCTGGAGCTCTTCGTGCTCCTCTCACCTCACGCGGCTGTCTCCTCTCCCTCCCGTGCTGTCTCTCTCCATGACGCTGGGAGGAAGTGACACTTCCTCCCAGCAAGCCAACATTACAGTGGCCCGGTCGCAGTCTTAAAGGATCGTGCCACCCAACCGGGCCCTGTTCAGCAGTAATGTTTCCTGGTGCTGTAATTATAGCACCGAGGAAACATTCCCCGGCACCCCAGCTCACAGTTTGGGAACTGCTGGGCTATAACATTTTATTAAAACCAGGCTAGCCTTGAATAATTTATGCTCATAAAACCAAAACTCTAGAATCTCTTCAATATACAATTGTGTTTACTTATTGATATTTTGAATAGCTCATGAAGTTAGCTTAAAATGTTAATATTCTTAACCCCTTAGTGACACATGACGGAAATATTCCGTAATGACTTCCTTTTATTCCAGAAGTTGTGTCCTTAAGGGGTTAAAGGAACACTATAGGGTCAGGAACACATGCATATATTCCTGACCCTATAGTGTTTAACCCACCATTTAGGTGGCTTGCCCCCCTTTAAAAGCAATTAAAACTCACCTTATTTCCAGTGCCGTGCAGTTCAGCCCCTTGGTGACATCATCAGAATTGCTGATCATCAAGGAGGCGAGTCCAAACGCCGTTTTGGCCAATCAGCACCTCCTCATAGAGATGCATTGAATCAA